GGTGCGCCGCGGCACGTCGTTCGCGGTGTTCCACCGTGCTCCCCGCCAGCCCCAGCCGCTGGCTGCCGCTCCCCGCCACCCCTGCCACCAATGGTTCGCCACGGCCGCCCACCGCGCTCCGGCCCTGCGCGCCTGGCTGCTGCTGCCCCCCCCCGGCTGGCCATCGTCGAACTCTTCGGCGTCTGAGCGTCCCTTCTTCCTCTCGGCCGTCCCCCCTTCCCTCTTTGCTCGCCTTCCAATTCGCTAGTTCGTGTCCCTATCTAGATTCTCGCTGGAGCGGAGTGTGCCGCCTCGCCGATGCCGAAAAAACTGTGTTGGGAGGGCCCAACTGGTGTGAATCGGATCGACCTGCCACGCGCTGATGACCTGGGAGAACCCGAACGGTGACTTCCCAACGGTTCTGCCGTGACGTGGTGACACTCGCAGGGCTCCGGCAGACGTCCGTGAGCTGGGAGGCCTTGAGTGGTCAGAACCCTGCTGCGCTCCTGCCTTGTGACCTGCCGACGCTCCAGACGCGTGCCAGCGCCCCTCCCCGGGGCATCGCCCCTGGCGCGAAGCGGAGGCCGGCCGCGGGTGCCTCCCCGGCCCCGCGGTGGTGCCTACCGTCTCACTGGAGGGCTTCGAGTCCATCGCGGACATCAAGGCGCCCCCGCCCACCAGCTCTTCTGTGGAGGAGGAGGAGGAAGAGGAGGAGGAGGAAGAGGAGGAAGGGGAGGAGGAAATGGAGGAGGAGGAGGAGAAAGGTGAGAACCCAAATGCTTCTGCAACACGTTCGTGACCTGGTACGGTGACAGCATGGAGACTGGTTCTTACCAGGGATCGTGGCCGCTGGGGCCGCGAGCGCAGGCCGCCCTGAACGAAGCGAGACGACGACGACGACGACGACGACGGAGGGAGGGAAGGAAGGAAGGAAGCAGGGAGGGAGGGAAGGAGGGAGGGAGGGAGGAGGAGCAGGAAGAGGAGGAGGAGGAGGAGGAGGAGGAGGCGGAGGAGGAGGCGGAGGAGGAAGAGGAGGAGGAGGAGGAGGAGGAGGACGAGAAAGAGGAGGTGTGCAGAAATCGTGACGAGGTCTCAAACGAAACGCCGACTCCAGCAATGCACCCAGCAACGGCGCCCTCCCTGTCCCGGGACCCCCTCTGTGGGACTTCCTGCTGCGGCTCTGCCTGTACAGCCGCGGGAGAACCTCCGCTTCTCGCACGCGAGGCACGTGAGAGGTGCAGCACGTGCGGAGCAGGTCGGGGGCAGAACGAGGCACGCCGAGCCTCGCGTGCGACCCCGTTCGGCGATCCAGCGGCCACGAGGCACGAAGAGGGACACTGCGACTCTTCCGAGCCCCCTTCTCCTCCTGGTCCCCCCTCACCACCTCCTCCTCGCTCCTCCTCCTCTCCTCGTCCTCATCGTCCTCCTCTTCCTCCTCCTGGCCCTCCTCCTCCTCCTCCTCCTCCTCCTCCTCCTCCTCCTCCTTCTTCCCCTCCTCCCTGCCTTTTCCTTCTCCTCCTCCTCCTCCTGCGCCTCTTCCTCTACGGCGACCAAAACACGACACTTGCGGTTGCCCACTCTGCGCGCAAGTACGCCGACCAGTGAAGGACACCAGGCTTCTGAGAATCGGCACATCATCAAGCCAGTGGGGTCAAAGATTAAGCGTTCAAGAATGCGGTATCAGCCCTAGACTGATTGACTGATTCAGCAGCTGATGGCGGCAGCTGTAGCCCTGTGGCTGATACCAAGGACGTGTGGCAGAGGCGGCCATTGCCGGAGAACGCCTATGCCGAGGGGTAAAGGGCGCGGGGAGAGGCCCGAGACGATCACCGGAAAGCCTCTTGGACCGTTTTGACGTCGTCCTTGGCTCTTGAGGCCACCGAGGGCCAAGTTCGAACACTCTTGGGCAAGCGTGGGCTCTGTGTGGGCCCTCTTGGGGCACTCTTTGGGGGCGCTACTCTGTAGTTTTCTACCGCGCTCCCCTCCCGGTCACGCTTCCTTGCAAGCGCAACCCCCTGCCAACAATGCTTGGCAGCCCGAGACGCTTTCCTGCGAAACACAAAAAAAAGATCGGCTGATGTGGCGCAAGCCTCTAGAATCCACATCCGGGGGTGACGTGCTGACCAGCAGCGTTTTTCGGCGAATGCATTACTGCTACGTATCCAATGTATCCAATGATTGCGAATTTCCATAATGTATGATGTTACGTTATTATGTCTCCCCCTACCCCCCCCCTGGAGTCGCCCCACATGTGCGTATCAATCGGGCGACCCTCATTTTGAAGCTCATAAACGTACCAAATGGCAGTGACAATTCACAATATCAGCCTCTTGGGCCTCTTGGGGACACATGAGGGCCTCAAAGCAGCTCAAAATTATTCCTAGACTGGCCAAGACGGCCCCAAGACGGCCCAAGACGGCCCCTAAGAGGGCCCCAGAGGCCCTCAGGACGGCCCCAGAGGGCAACAAGGGGGCCCCCAAGAGCGCCTCCAGAGGCCAAAAACATGAACCGCCCCTTTGGAGGACTATGACTGCCCAAATAGCCTCCAAAATTACTCCCAGGCGGCCCAAGAGGCCCCCAGGAGGGCCCCGAGACGGCCCGACAGGGCCCCAAAATGGCCCAAAGAGGCCCACAAGACGGTCCAAGAGGCCGCCAAGACGGCACAAGAGGGCCCCAAGAGTCCCAAGGGGGGCCGAAGAGGGCTCCAAAACAGCCCAGAAAGGAAACCAAGACGGTCCAAGAGGCCCCCAAGACGGAGCAAAAACCCCAAGAGAGCCGCAAGGCGGCCGCGAGAAGCCCACAGGACGGCATCCGAAGGCGCCAAACGGCGTAACAGCGCCGTCAGACGGCCCCAAAGACGCCTCCAAGAGGCCCCAAGAGGCCCCAAGAGGCCCCAAAGAAACTCCCAAGACGCCCCAAGAAGCCCCCAAGAGGCCCCAAGACGCCCCCAATAGGCCTCCAAGAGGCCCCGAAGAGCTTCCTTCCAGGCCCCGCAATGACTGGACTGTACGTGCTCCAGACATGCAACCCGCGAAGCGAGAGGAAGCACAAGTCTAAAAAAGGGCGCGCAAACTCACGCGACCGCGTGGAGGGCCAGGCTGCGGGCGCCGCCACTCCCCCGATCAGGTCCTGGGCCCAACTGGTTACAGACTTGAGCCAAAACGGCTATGGGTCATCCTTCCCCACCAGAGACAGCCGGGGGTTAGGAAAACGCCACGCAACCTCTGAATTTCACTGAGAAGCCGGCGAAAAAGAGATCATCCTCCTGCTCCTCCTCCTGCTCCTCCTGCTGCTGCTCCTCCTCCTCCTCCTCTTCCTCTTCTTCCTCCTCCAGCATCTCCTCCCCCCAACCACTCCTCCGCCTCTTCTTCTTCCTTCTCCTCCTCTTCCTCCTCCTTTCCCTGCTCCTCCTCCTCCCCTTCCCCATGTCCCTCCTCTCTCTCTCTCTCTTTATCCTCCTCATCCTCCTCTTCCTCCTCTTCCTTCTTCTCCTCCGCCTCCTTCTCCTCCTCCTCCTCCTCTTCCTCCGCCGCTTCCTCCTCCTCATCATCGCCCTGCTGCTGCTCCTCCTCCTGCTCCTCCTCCTCCCATTTCTCGTTGTAAAAAATGTGTCCCTGTCGCACCCCGAGGCCAGTTGTTAGGGCGGGCTGGGCGGGTCGCCTGAGACTTCCTCATCATCTGTGACCCTGAAGCTGAACAGATGGCAACAGCTTCACAGACGGAGGGCGGGTGGTTTTCAAAATGTGGTTCTCGCCTGAACGCCGCGCACATTCGTTTTGAACAGAGTGTCACGGATTGAAGGCGAACGGTTTTCAAAATGTGGCTCTCGCCTTAGCGCCGCGCACATTCGTTTTTTAAGCTGCTGCGAGAGCTTGACGGATTGAGGTCGGGTTCGTTGCAACATGTGGCTCTCGCCTTAGCGCCGCGCACATTGGTTATTTATGTGCCAGAGTTTCACGGGATCCCATGATCAGCGTACCAGACATGGTGTCTTGGAAGGATTCTGGATATGGGGGGTGCACCAGTTACATTGATTCGCGGTGTTGAAGTCCCAGGACTGGCATTCTGGCACGATTCAGGATCGCCAAGACGCAACAGTCAAGTTGATCCGTGGCGTTGGAACCCCGAGAACAATGTGTTACCATCTTTTGGCATGCTTCAGGGTCTTCAAACGGTTGCCTTCCAACGAGGCAGTTCCGTCAATGGAAATGAACCGCTGTAGGGGTCTATGAAGAGGGAGCCTGGAGGGAGGGTCTATTCCAACATCGTTACTGACTCTTGGGTTTACACTGGTCCTATTCCTCCTCCTCCTCCTCCTTCTTCTCCTCCTCCTCATCATGTTCCTCCTCCTCCTGCGCCTCCTCCTCCTCATCTTCCTCCTCCTGTTCCTCCTCCTGCTCCTACCTCTCCTCCTCCTCCTCCTCCTCCTCCTCCTCCTCCGCCTCCTCCTCCTCCTCCTCCTCCTCCTCCTCCTCCTCATTCTCCTCCTCCTCCTCCTTTTTGCCTGCGCTGTGCTCGGTGCAACGCTGAAGGATGAGAGAAACAGTTCACGGCACCCGCACAGCAGGAACACTGGGCCGACAAGTCTTCCGTCGGCCGTTACAGCGGGCCCCGGGCTCTTGGGGTGCTTGAGCCTGGCTTTGCGCGCAGAGTAGCGTGCAGGTGCGTCGAGTGCATCTAACGCAGCAACTTCCTCGTCATGCAGAGGTGCACAATTGGTCAACACCCAGTCGCCACACCAGTCTCCTCCTCCTCCTCCTCCTCCTCCTCCTCCTCCTCCTCCCCTCCGCCTCCTCCTCCTCCTCCTCCTCCGCCTCCTCCTTCCTCCTCCTCCCTCCCCCTCCCCATCCCCTCCTCCTCCTCGCTCCTCCTCCTCCTCCTCCCCTAATCCTCCTCCTCCTCCTCCTCCTCCTCCTCCTCCTCCTCCTCCTCCTCCTCCTCCCACTCCTGTCCATTCACATCCTCCCTCTGCCACAGGGGGAAGGCAGCGAGTCTCGCCGCGCAGGCACGCGCGGGGGGTCCATCACGAACACCAGGTCCTGGCTGCCCGTGCACTTGATCGATGACGTGGTACTCCGCTCGTCGCACTCCCAATCGTTGCAGGGCTCGTGCTCCGTGCGCTCCTGCCGAGACCCCAAGAAAGACTATGGAACGGACTCGAGGGACCCGGCGGCGCGGCAACGGACTCCTCCTCCTCTCCTCCTCCTCCGCCTCCTCCTCCTTCCTCCTCCTCCTCTCCTCCCCTCTCCTCCTCCTCCTCCTCCTCCTCCTCCTCCTCCTCCTCCTTCCTTCCTCCTCCTCCTCCTCCTCTCCTCCTCCTCCTCCGCCTCCCTCGCTCTTCCTCCTCCTCCTCCTCCTCCTCCTCTCTCCTCCTCCTCCTCTCCTCCTCCTCCTCCCCTCCTCCTCCTCTCCTACCTCCTCCTCCTCCTCCTCCTCCTCCTCCTCCTCCTCCTCCTCCTCCTCTCCCCCTCCTCCTCCTCCTCCTCCTCCGCCTCCTCCTCTCTCCTCCTCCTCCTCCTCCTCCTCCTCCCCTCACTCCCTCCTCCTCCTCCTACCTCCCCTCCTCTCCTCCTCCTCCTCTCCGCCTACTCTCCTCCTCCTCCTCCGCCTCCTCCTCCTCCTCCTCCTCCCTGCCTCCTCTCCTCCTCCTCCTCCTCTCCTCCTCCTCCTCCTCCTCCTCCTCCTCCCCTCCGCCTCCTCCTCCTCCTCCTCCTCCCTCCTCCTCCTCTCCTCCTCCTCCTCCTCCTCCTCCTCCTCCTCCTCCTCCTCCTCCTCCTCCTCCTCCCCTCCCTCCTCCTCCTCCTCACTCCTCCTCCTCCTCCTCCTCCTCCCCTCCTCCTCCTCCTCCTCCTCCTCCTCCTCCGCCTCCTCCTCTCTCCTCCTCCTCTCCTCCCCTCCTCCCTCCTCCTCCTCCTCCTCCTCCTCCTCCTCCTCCTCCTCCTCCTCCTCCTCCTCCTCCCCTCCTCCTCCTCACTCCTCCTCCGCCTCCTCCTCCTGCCTCCTCCTCCTCCTCCTACCTCCTCCTCCTCCGCCTCTCCTCCGCCTCCTCCTCCTCCTCCTCCTCCGTCCTCCTCTCTCCTCCTCCTCCCTCCTCCTCCTCCTCCTCTCCTCCTCCTCCTCCTCCTCCTTCCTCCTCCTCCTCCTCCTCCTCCCCCATCCTCCTCCTCCTCCTTCTCCTCCTCCTCCTCCTCCTCCTCCTTCTCCTCCCTCTTCTCCCTCCTTCCTCATGTTCACTACTCCTCCGCATCCTCCTTCATCATCCTCCTCCTCCTCGCTCGTATCCTCTTTTCCTCCGCCTGATCCCTCGTCCGCACTAGCCTGCTCATTCCCCATCCAAAGATACATGCGTAGAGGGCTCCCACTGTTGGCATGAAGGGTCAACCAGTCCCGGCGCCCTGGGCCAGTGTTCCTCCAAGGTCAACTCCCGTGCGCCTCGCCTGCCCACCTCCCACGCGTGGGCACTCCCCTTTCTGGTGCACGTCGAATGCCCCGCGCTGGTGCCGGGATGCTCACTCCGAGCATGCCCAATCGCTCCAGGCGGCCATCGCATGGCCAGCGGTGCTGCCACGAGGTTCACGCCGAAGGTGCCCGCTCGCCACTGTCGCACATCCTGGCATCAAGCAGACGGATCGTGAGCGGAATCGGGGAAGGCATCCCGGAAAACAGGGCCAACGTCGCCTACATTGGCGACAGGGCGCGCCGATTCTGCATGGAAGCGGGACCCGTCGGTCATCCACGCGCCCTACTTCAGGCGCTTGCGATAAACAATCCTGCCATGCGAACTTCACAGGGATATCCTTCATGGACTCTGAGCTTCGTAAGGTGTCCCAGGGCTCTGCGGGCCCGTCAGGGAATGACTGTGAAATTATGTTGGGGCAGGCGCTGGCAAGCCAGTTCCTTGTTTAGTCTACCTAACTAAATACTGTAATCAATGTTTGCCCCTCCCCCTGCCCCCTGCACCCTGCCTCCTCACTTCTCAGTGCACCCAAATGGGTGTTTGTGGCTGATCTGGGCAAAGCATGCGAAGGTCCCCCCTCATCGTCGTCTTCCCCCTGGTCCACTGTCGTGGCTCCAGTGACCACTCCAGAGAATTGCCACCAACACACGTTGGGGTTCTTCTGGTGTCACCGTCCTCCTCTTTCTCTTCCTCCTGCTCCTCCCCCTCCTTACCTCCCTCTTCCTCCGTGTCCCGCTCCTGACCTGGAGCGGTCCAATGGTTGCCGAGTGGTTTCCAGCTCGCCTTCCACAACGCCGAGGGCCTAGGGGGACCCCCCTGGGCTCAAGGGGGGTCGACCTCCTCCTCCCCCTCCAATTCCTATTCCCATTCCGTCTCCCTCCCGCTGGCTGGATCAACCTCGCTCCACTGGATTCCTCGCTTCCTCCCCTACTCCCACCTCGTCCCCGCACCCCATGACCCGCGCCCTTTCTCTTCACGTCCGTCGTTCTCTTCCCTTTTCCGCTCCTCCCAAGCGTGCTGCGTGCACCCCGCGCAGCCCTCCAAATCGCTCATTTTGCCGCGACCCCAACTTGGGACCGAACCACTGGGGGGGGGCTAAAGGATACCAACACCGCTACTCCCCGGGTCTCTCCTGCGGTGCGTTCTGACCAGAAGCTCGAGGCGAATCCAGCGGTGGCGACGAGGGCCTCCAGGAGGCCCGAAAAGGCGAAAACGAGGCAATGGTAGCTGTATCAGTACCTTTCCTCCTCCGAGCCACCGGAACATCACTGCAGCAGGCCTGAGCAACGCAACGGGCCGGGCTGCAACGGCCCCCCACCCCCCGCAGAGCCACTGACTCGTGGCCCCGTCGCGGCTCCTCCAGGCCCGGGCAGACCCCGTCGCTCGAGGCGTAGTTCCTCACGTGCCGCGTCCGGTACATGTGGCCTGGGCCCCGCCCCCTCTTCGGCCTCGTCGCCGCCGTCGTGCTGCCTGTCCTGCCCCTGCCGGTGGTGCTCCACTGCCTCCTCCTCCTCCTCCTCCTCCTCCTCCTCCTCCTCCTCCTCCTCCTCCTCCTCCTCCTCCTCCTCCTCCTCCTCCTCCACCTTCTCCTCCTCCTCCCTCGTCGTCCTCCCTCCCTCCCCTCCCCACGTACATGTTTCGGGGGTGAGAGCCCCAGCGAAGGCGGCCGATCAGGCAGAGTACACATCTGGCGCAGGCAAGGAGCGGTGAGGTCGAGCGTGCAGCACCAGGCGCACAAGCAGAGCTACCTGGGGCGTCCGGTCTCGGCTCCTCCTACGGAGTCCGCCCGCAGAAGCGCGCGCTCACAAAATGGGCCTGGCGGACCTGGGCGTTCCCAGGCGCTGCGAGGCGTTCCCGCTCCCAGGCGCTCCCCAGCGCTCCCAAGCGCTCAGGAGAATGTCCGGATGGCCCTGGTGGAGACTGGGGAATCCCACCAGCCCTCTGGGCGTAGGTGGTCTAAGGGGGTTCATCTTCCAACCCCTTTCTTCCCCTTCGGGGCGGGGTTTATCAATGTTCCCTATTAAAAACCCCCACCACCACACCCAGCCGGCAGCCAACCCGGAACCATGCGCACACCATGAGGGCCCCCCCACCATCCTTTTCAAAAAACAACACAAACCAGACTCTGCCTCCACATTCGGAGCATACTCGACCAACCCGATGCGGCCCCCCCTTTTATCTCTGTCAAAAAACAATACACAATACAGTTTGGGGCAAAGTCTGGAATCATGTTCGCGGGGCCCGCGAACACTTTGTATGGTTTTTCAACAGGGACGGCGGGGGTGTCAGCATATTGCCTGCTGCGCGCAGGGCTACCATCCCTGGCAGGCGCACAATACAACATGCACCTCGCGGCTAAATGTGGATAGTGCGCGGTCACCCCGCGATCATTGTCAAGTATTTTTTGTCAGGGACGGCGGGGGTGGTGGTGTATGGCCTGCTGCGCCTAGGCCCACCACGACACAATGATGAGCATTGGTTTTCGACAGGGATGGTAGGGGGCGACATGTTCCCCGATGTGTGCTGTCATGTGCGCAGGCGCACCTGACACACTCTGCACGTGCCCCGGACGTGGCGCACCTGGCGCGGCTGGAGGGAACATCCAGCGCACCAGGCGTGCCTGGCACGCTCGGGCCCCAGGGGTGCCTGGCGCGCCTGGCGCGCCTGGCACGCGTGGCGCACCTCGCCCCAGCGTCGCGCACATGGGCTCGGTGTTGGTTCCAAATAGCTGCCCATCAAAAGACGACCGCGGAACATGCTGAGGCTCGGGTGTTACTGATGTGTTGGGACGGCGGGTGGGAGTGAGCTAGACGGCTTGCTATCTGGAGGGTGTTTTGAACCCTCCTCCTACCCCATCCCCTGGAACTGGACGGGGCCGGTCGCGAGCGGTCAGGGCGTCCAAAATGGCCTCGGCGAGGAAACCCAAATCATTGCTTGTACTCTGGTTTTGGTTACAGCTTGAAGTCTTGGGAAGGCAACCCTAAAATTAAGCTCCCCTCCTCTACTGCCGATTCCCTCCAAAATGGCCCCATTAAGCACCCAGGAGGCCCCAAGAGGTCCCAAGATGGCCCCAGGATGGCCCCATGATGCCCCCAGGAGGCCCCCGAGGAGGCCCCCAAGAGGACCCCAAGCAGGGCAGTCTCGCCCCACGTGGGGTGACGGCCCCTCCGCCTGGCGGGATGCCTCCGCCCTTGTCCTTCTCTCGCCCTCACCCTATCCCATCCCTCCCCCTGCTTCCTCCCCCACCCATACGAGGCGCCGAGGCGTCGAGCTGCAGAGGCTGGGCCAGACTACGGGTTAGGTGTCAAGCTCGGGCACCTCCGTGCTCCCTCCATCCTCCCATCCTCCTCTATTCTCTCCTCCTCCTCCTCCTCCTCCTCCTCCTCCTCCTCCTCCTCCTCCTCCTCCTCCTCCTCCTCCTCCTCCTCCTCCGCCTCCCACCAATTGCCCGCGTCGTTGTCGCCGTCGTCGTCGCCGCTGTCGTCGTCGTCCTCTCCTCCTCCTCCTCCTCCTCCTCCTCCTCCTCCTCCTCCTCCTCCTCCTCCTCCTCCTCCTCCTGCTCCTGCTCCTGCTCCCTCCTCCTCCTCCTCCTCCTCCTCCTCCTCCTCTCCTCCTCCTCCTCCTCCCTCCTCCTCCTCCTCCTCCTCCTCCTCCTCCTCCTCCTCCTCCTCCCTCCTCCTCCTCCTCCTCCCCTCCCCTCCTCCTCCTCCTCCTCCTCCTCCTCCTCCTCCTCCTCCTCCTCCTCCTCCTCCTCCTCCTCCTCCTCCTCTCCTCCTCCTCCTCCTCCTCTCCTTCCTCCTCCTCCTCCTCCTCCTCCTCCTCCTCCTCCTCCTCCTCCTCCTCCTCACCTCCTCTCCTCCTCCTCCTCCTCCTCCTCCTCCTCCTCCTCCTCCCCTCCTCCTCCTCCTCCTCCTCCTCCTCCTCCTCCTGCTACCGCCGACGCGGTCTGTGCCACGCGCGCGCTCTCTGATGCCGAACGCCACCGCGAGGACAAAGTAGCCTTCCTCCACCACCCGGTAGCGCAGCGCCGCGCCCGCCCTTGCCGCGCCGCCAGGCTGGCCTAGCCAGAGCCAGCTCGGCCGCCAGCGCGCCGCGCGTCGCCAGCTCGCGCTCGTGGCCGAGCGCGCTGCGGAGCTGCCGCGCTGTGGCGCGGTGCAGCGCGCAGCTTAGCTCCGCGCCCCAGCGGCGGGCCAGCGCGCTCGCGGCCGCTTCGGCCTCGGGGCCGTCGCCCAGCGCCTGCGCCTGGTCCCGGGCGAGCCAGCGCAAGTGGTGCAGGGCGGCCTTGCCCAGCCGCCCGGCCGTTTCGTGGGCCAGGGGGAGGACTGGCTAGGGCGCCAGGCGCTCGGGGTAGCGCCGGCGCTTGTCCGCCTCGCCCTCGGCGGGCCGCGGCCAGGGCGCGCTCGTCCCCCGGGACGCTGTAGCGGACGGTGATGTCCGCCAGCATCCGGGAGCAGTCGCCCCGCTGGGCCTCGAGGTCAAGGAGGGCCTCCTGGCGCTCCACCTCGAGCGGCCCCCCGCAAGCGCCGCAGGGCCCGCCCAGCGGGGCGTCGGCGAAGCGCCAGCCAGAAGCCGGCCCGCCGCATCGGCAATACATCGCCGTTAGATCGGCGATTAGCCCCCGATAGCGAAACCGCACGTAACTGGGCGGTGTGAATTGCCAGGCCCCTGTCAGCGATGAATGGGCGATTTGGCGGTCGATGCGTATAGCCCTCCCTAACGTTGCCCCAGTCTCTCCCCCTCCTCCCTCCCCCTCCTCCCCTGCTGGCACCGCTGGTATATGGTCCCAGTCAGCGAGGTGGGCACACCTGCACGGCGTGGACTTTTGCAGGCGGACGCCTGCGAGCTCCTTTAAGCTCGAGCATCTGGCATGAAGTCCCAAGCATGTCCCCTTCCTCCTCACCAGTGGGTGCCCTGCCAGGGATGGCCACATCCTCCTGCCCTCGACGGGTCTCCTGGCTCCGCGGTGTCGGACCACATGCACCGACGGGAGCACGGGGTCCAGGCGGTCCAGTCCTCGAGCTCGCAGTCCTGCCAGGGGCATCATGATCATCATCAGCAACATCAACATAACATCAACATCGCCATCATCGTCACCGTCACCATCATCACCACGATCATGAACACCATCACCATCGTCATGACCATGATTATCACCATCACCTTCCCCATCACCAACGCCATCATCACCACCACCACCACCATCACCATCACAACCACCATCGTCATCATCAGTATCATCCGCCTCGTCATCATCACCAGCATCGCCATCACCATCAATATCACGACAATCACCAGCAGCATCATCATGATCGCCAACATGATCATCATCGTCGTCATCATCATCACCACCATCATCATCATCATCATCATCATCATCAACACCAACATCAACATCAACATCAACATCAACATCATCATCGTCGTCGTCGTCGTCATACGCGTCCTAATCATAACCATCATCGTTAACCGTACGTCCTCCTCCTCCTCCAGCTGGCCCCCCTCATCCTCATCCCTCTTCATGTTCATCCTCATCTCTCATCCTCATCCTCACCCCTCATCCTCATCCCTCCTCCCTCCTCCAGCAGGCCCCCTCTCATCCTCCTCCAGCTGGCCCCCCTCATCCTCATCTTCCGAATACACCGTCATTCCCCTCTTCACTATAACAACGCATGTCTTTTCTATCTGCTTCGCACACGTGCGCCCGCCTCCTCCTGCTCCTTCTCCTGCGATTCCTCCTCGTTCCCCTCCTTCCTACCTCCTGCCCCTTCGGGTTCAGTCTCTCACCCCCCTCCTCCAACCTACCTCCGCACGTTCCCCTCCCAACATCAATCCTCTCCCCTTCTCCTCCAACCTCCCCTCCCCTTGTCAATCCTCTTCCTCCTTCGCCCTTATTGTTGGAAGGGTGCTCTGGCCTTGGAGGAACGGCATGGTATGTGGCCGACGCCACCTCTACACAGTACTTAGCATGGGCAATGCAGAGCTCCAGCCGCAGACCTCGAAGCCACTCCTGTGCCAAGCACCAATGGAGCTGAGCACACGTATTGGAGGAAACCGCGAGACCTGCACCCGTCACCCTTCTCCAGCCTCTTCCCCCCTCCCGAAAACCTACCCGAACCCCCTCGGACACCCGTATAGCTCTCCGAACACGGCCAGGAGCACGGGATCCGTCCTGGACCAGTGAATAACGCCTTCCCGCCCTCAAACCACCAGCCACCTCTTCGTCGTCGTCATGATCAACATCGTTTTCGTCCTGATCACCGTCATCATCCGCAGCATCACCATAATCAGCATAGTCACCCTCATCACCTCAATCACCATCATGAGTATCATCATTCTCATCAGCAGCATCATCATCATCAGCATCATCAGCATGAACACCATCAGCATCATCACCATCATCACCAACATCACCATCATCGTCATCATCATCAGCTTCATCACCAGCATCATCATAATCGTCTCCATCATCGCCACGAACACTACCACCACAAGTCTGCTCATCATCGCCTCCACCATCACCATCAACATCGTCACCGTCATCATTATCATCGCCATCGTCGGCGTCATCGCCATCAGCATCGCCACCTTCATCATAATCCTCATCATCATAATCCTCATCATCATCATCATCATCATCAGCATCATCATCATCATCATCATCATCATCATCATCATCAACATCATCATAATCACCATCATCATGACCGTCATCATCACCATCATCAACATCATAATCATCGACATCCCGTTCATCATACGGCTCATCGCCCCACTCATCATCCAACTCATGATCTAGCTCGCCATCCGGCTCATCATCACCACCATCATCACCATCACCACCATCATCGCCATCATCATGAGCATCATCATCATCATCATCATCAACAATCATCATCATCATCATCATCATCATCATCATCATCATCATCATCATAATACGGAGGCTCATGACGCGTTAGCTGATCTGGTATCTGACGCCCACCCACCCAACCCAATGCCAAACGCGCGAAGGGCAAAGCTGGCTTGAATAGTCTGGCAGCGTGGAGGGACAGGACGGATGGGTAAACACCAGGATGCTTTTCACCAGCTGAATGCGTGACCATACCTTATACCACAACTTATCTCGAACATCCATGAAGTGATTTACCTGGCAGACTCGGGCCCAGTGAGTTCGGGCCACACCTCGAATTGTCAACATCTAGCTTGGCTAGCGAAGCTCCCCTCGGGCGTCTATCAACAGCCTAGACAAGGAATGGCATGCAATCGCTCCACTGCCCCCCAAAAAAAAAGAAAGCTGAATCGTCGGTGCGCGTGAGGGGGGAAGGCTGAAAAATTCGGAGCGGTGATCTGCGCAATTTCACATTAGATAGCGTTCACTGTTCTCTCTCTCTCTCTCTCTCGCTCTCTCTCTCTCTCTCTCTCCAGGAATGTGGCTGAGACGACTTAGCTGATCCGGTATGGACGCCCACCCACCCAACCCAATGCCAGACGCTCGAAGGGCAAAGCCCGCTTGAATAGTCTGGCGGCGTGGAAGGACAGAACGGATGGGCAAACGCCAAAATCTTCTCAGCAGCAAAATGCGTGACCATACCTTATTCCGAAACTCCTTGAACTGAGTTGCCTGGCAAGGCCGATCCTCGAACTTGCAAGCTCTAGCTTGAATAGCAAAGCTCCCCTAGGGCTGCGACAACCGTTTCAGGGCAAACGATCCACTGCGCCCCACTCCCAGCTTTGACCTCTGCAAACATGTTGTCGCTGCGGCCCAGGTGAGAAAGGCCAGCGGCCAGCCCAACCGCCAGCGATATACACAACCCGCGATCATAACTCCCCAATAACATTCTGAGTCCGAGACGAAGGCTCACAAACTCCCATCCCGACCTCGGATCACAACCCGCGCCCGCCTGCGATCCGCGTCCTCGGCCATAATTAAGGACCTCACATGCTGGAAGAAATGGAAGCAGAAGGGCGGGTAGAAACCCGCAGGGAAGTCATCCTTGTGCATTGGGCTCGAGCAGCCAAGCGAAATGCACTGCTCCTTCTGTGCAGCTCCAGACCACGTCTGCAACAATTTCCGGCTGCGCAGCCATATCAGACCCAATCCACGTCCACATTGGACTGGCCCGAACGGCATGAAGTGCCACACCGGCCATGTGGATATGATGCCCACGTCGTGAGGAGATCAGAGCGCGACCGCGCATCCAAACATTTCAAAGCGGTTGGGCGCCACGAACTCCTGCGCAGACTTGGGCGATGGTCGGGAGGGAGACACCGACGGCGTGCAGGGTCTCCCAGATCTCGGCGGCACTCTCGGCAGGTAGCTGCTGGCGCGCGTCCATCAGCGGGGAGGCCTGGGCCGCGTCGTACAAACCCTGCAGCGGCGCGAAGCGGCCGCCGGCGGCGCTCGCCGTCGCGCGCAGGAGGTCGACCCCTTCCCGCGTCTCCTCGATGGCCGACGAGGGGCCCCGGCCCACCGCAGCGGCGACGTCTGTCACTAGGGCCGCAACGTCGGAGGCCGCTCTGGTCAGGGCCCTTTCCACCGTCGGCCAGGTCCTCCGAAAGGCCGACGGCGGCGCCGACGCCCTCGGCCAGCGCGGGCGAAGAAGCTGGGCGGGCTGATCCACGGCGCACGCATCAGGACCGCCCCCGGCGAGAGCCACTACGCGCAGCACACGCGGCCTGCGCAGCAACTCTCAATGAAGTCTGGCCTTCCTTTCCAACTCTGATTTAGGTCTGACTGGAACTCTGATTTAACTCGGGCCCTCAGACCCAAGTCTGGCTGATTTAACTCTGCCCCGAAGACCCAAGTCTGATTTAGGTATGACTGAGAATTCTTTTTTTAACATGATTATGGTTTCGTTTGGGCCTGCCGCAACCGATGTCGCGGCGTCGGCCCAGAACGCTGCCGGGTCGGCCCTGTGCGCATGCGCGTTCAAGAACAACAGAAGGAATGCGCGAGCCAAGCGGCGGGTCATGGCTGGGGGCCCAGCCGCCAGCTGCCAAATACTGCGAGCTTGGCCCGCCTGCGCGCGCCGCCCTCCGGCAACGCTAAATCTAAGGCCTGCGCGGGGGGCACGGGGCAGCAACTCCCGCCTGCGCGGCCCTGCCCAAAACTACTCAACTGCAGCTGGGACGAAAAGAGGCTCACCCGAGGCTCGCCCCTCAGGGCTGCCGGCTGCCGCGCCGCGAAAGGATTTCACAGAGCGGTGACCGCCCCAATCCCCGCCGCCCGCCCGGGACAGGTCGGGGGCGGGCAGCGCGGAGGAGAAGCGCCGCACTCTTCGTAGGGCTCGGGAGCGCGGAAGTGCCCTGGGAGGTTTCTGAGAGGCTTCGGGAAATAGGCAAGGCCCGGACTCGGAGGGTTTTCGAGGGCGGAGGTGGCCCGACAAGGCGCTCCGCGAGGTTGGGGGGAACGGGGGGAGCTGAGGAGGATTACTCAGAGGTTAGGAGGAATGTCGAAAGCCTAGCAGGGCTTTGAAGGGACATGGGGGGTTTGGCTTGGGAGTTTTTCGGAAGTTGCCGGAGGGTGCCAGAGCATTGGGGCCGCGACCGAACGCCCGGGAAAGGGTCCCGCGGGAAGCCCCAAAACGGCCCCAGAGGCTCCAAAGAGCGGCCCAAGACGAAATGAGAGGGCCCCAAGACGGCCCAAGAAGCACCCGTGACGGCCCAAGAAGGCCCCAAGACGGCCCCAAGAACGGGGCTTCGAACGAAAGATCCGACCCTCCCGCCTAAAGAGGCGCCTCGGAGGCCCCAAAAGGCCCCCCAGAGGCCCCAAGAAGCCTCATATAGACCCCCGCGAACCCCAAGAGGCCCCTAAGAGGCCCAAGCGAGGCCCCAAGAGGCTCCAAATCAGCCCCCCCTGAGGCCTGAAAACTTCCTCCAGGAGGCCCCCAAGAGATCTCCTCGACGAGGTCCCGACGAACCTCCAGGAGGCCTCAGACCCTAAACCCAGGCACGATGGCGGGATGGGCCGAAGGCAATTAGATCCGCCGCCCCCCTTTGATTTACCAAAGGGGTGCCTGGCGTGCCGGATGATATGGCTTTTGGTTTTGGGTATTTTTCCAAAAGAACTCCCCCTGGGGCTTCGGCCCGTCCGGCCGGCCACCCGGAAAGGCGCTCAAAACGCGTCCGTCGTGTCTCTGTTTCCTCCAGTTGGCCCAAGATGGCGTCCAAGACGGCCAAGATGGCCCAGGATGGTCTCCAAGACGTCTCCAAGACGGCCAAAGATGGCCTCCAAGACGGCTAAGATGGCCCCAGAATGTCTCCAAGACGGCCCAAGATGGCCTCAAGATGGTCCACGACGGCCCGACAGGCCCGCAAGAGGCCTCCAAGACGGCCCAAGAGCCCTCCAACACGTCCTCCAGGGAGGCCCGAAAGGGCCGAAAACATTGATTTCCTTGCGGTTTTTGAAAGATTTTGGCATTTGCGCCTTCTCGGCTTTCCGACGGCCCAAGACGGCCCAAGAGGCCCCCAAGATCGCCCAAGAGGACTTCCTACGGTTTTGGTGTTGGTTCTTTTTCTAAAAGAACTCCCCCTGGCGCTTTGGCCCGTCCCGCCAAGGTCCCCGGAGGGAGCTCCAGGCTCGCAAACGACCTCAACGTCGACAACAAATTCTCCAAGACGGCTCAAGATGGCCTCCAAGACGGCCAAGATGCCCCTCAAGCTCGCCAAAGATGGTCCAAGATGGCCTCCAAGACCGCCCAAGATGGTCCGAGATGGCCTCCAAGACGGCCCAAGAGGGTCCAAGGTACCTCCAAGTTCACCCAAGACGCCTCCAAGACGGCCCAAGACGGCCCAAGAGGTCTCGAAGAGGTCCTTCAGGAGGGCCCGAAGAGGCCAAAATCATTGCAGGATTTGCCTCTTCTCGGCATTCCGACGGCTCAGGACGGACCAAGAGGCCGCAAGGATCGCCCCACAATCGCCCACGAGGCCTCCAAGAGAGCCCCATGACGGCCCAAGAGGCCTCCACGGCGGCCCCAAGAGGGCCCCAAGAGGGCCCAAGAGACCTCCAAGACGCCCAAGCTGGCCTCCAAGACGGCCCCGAAGCGCCCCAAGAGGGCCCCAAGTCGGCCCAGAAAGGACCCCAAGACGGCTCCCGACGGCGTCAGACGGGCCTGGAACCCACCAAGATGGCCGAAGTTGGCTCGAAGCTGGCCCAAGACAGCCCAAGAGGCCTCCAAGAGGGCCTCCAGGAAGGCCAGACAAGGCCAAAACACATTGATTGTCCTTAGGTGTTCGAAGGGTTTTGACATGTGCTTCTTTTCGGCCTTCCGACGGCCCGAGACGGCCCAAGAGCACCGAAAGATTGCCCAAGAGGCATCCAAGATGGGCCCAGAACGGCCCAAGAGGCCCCCAAGACGGCCCCAAGAGGCCCCCAAGACGGCCCAGGAGGCCTTTAAGACACCCAAGATGGCCTCCAAGACGGCTATGGAGCATTCCAAGAGGCCCCAAGTCGGCCCAGAAAGGCCCCCCAAAACAGCTTCCGACGGAGTCGGACGGGCCAAGAGCCCACCAAGACGGCCGAAGATGGCCCTAAGATGGCCCAAGACGGCCCAAGAGGCCTCCAAGAGGGCCTCCAGAAAAGGCCCGAAAAGGTCAAAATCATCGATTCCCATAAGCTGTTTGAAAGGATTGTGGCATTTGCTTTTTGTTCTGCCTTCCGACGGCCCGATACGGCCCAAGTGCCCCCAAAGATCGCCCAAAAAACAAAAAACTGCCCTAAGAGGCCCCAAGCTGGCCCAAGAGGCCTCCAAGACGCTCAAGATGGCCTCCAAGACGGGCCAAGAGCACTCCAAGACGTTCTCCAAGAAGGCCCGAAAGGGTCAAAATGACCTCCCGACGGCCAAGATGACCTTCAAGATGCCCACGTGTTCCACGAAAGCCTTCCAAACCGATTCGGGGAACACATGATCTGAGAACTCGGCAGATCTGGCCTCAACGTTCGGCCACATAGGCACTTCCAAAAAGGCAGGGGGCGGTGGTGATTCGCCGTAGGCGACTTCGATCCGCCGCCCCCTGTCGATGCATCGCAGGGGCGCCTGGCGTGCTAGGTTATTTCGGTTTGGATGTTGCTCTTTTTCCAAAAGAACTCCCCCTGGGGCTTCGGCCCGTCCCGCCGGCCACCCGGAAGGCCCACAATTTTTAAATGTGGTTCGCTCAAGATGGCCCAAGATTGTCTCCAAGATGGCCACGTTGGCCCAAGATGGCCTCCAAGATGGTCCAAGATGGCCTCCAAATCCGCCCAAGATGGCCTCCAAGACGGCCTCCCATACGGCCCAAGAGAGTCCAAGACGGCCGAAGACGGCCCAAGATGCCCCCCAGAGGCCTCCAAGACGGCCCAAGAGGCCTCCAAGAGGGTCTCCAGGAGGGCACGAAGACGCCAAAATCATTGATGTTCCGTAGGGTTTCTGAAGGGTTGTCGCATTCGCTTCTTCTCGGCTTTCCGACGACCCAAGAGTGCCCAAGAGGCCTCCAAGATCGCCCCACAGCGCCCAAGAGGCCTCCAAGATGGCCTCAGGACTACCCAAGAGGCCTCCAAGACGCCCAAGATGGCATCTAAGACGGCCCTGGAGCACCCTAAAAGGGCCCCAAGTCGGCCCAGAAAGGACCCCCAAACGGCTTCCGACGGCGCCAGACGGGCCAGGAGCCCACCAAGATGGCCGAAGTTGGCTCGCAGCTGGCCCAAGACGGCCCAAGAGGGCTCCAAGAGGGCCTCCAGGAAGGCCAGACAACTCCAACAACATTGATCTGCCTTAGGTTTTCGAAGGATAGAGCCCTCCAAGACGTCCTCCAAGAAGGCCTGAAAGGGTCAAAATGGCCTCCAGGCGGCCAAGATGACCTTCAAGATGCCCACGTGTTCCACGAAAGCCTTCCAAACCGATTCGGGGAACACATGGTCCGATAGCTTGGCAGGTCTGGCCTCAACGTTCGGCCACATAGGCGCTTCCACAAAGGCAGGGGGCGGCGGTGATTCGCCGTAGGCGTCTTCGATCCGCAGCCCCCTGTGCCAACAGAGGTGCATGGTGTGCTGAGGGTCAGGAGGTTTGTGGTTATGTTGAAACTTCCTCTGGGGCTTCGGCCCAGCAGGCCGCCCACCCAGGAGGCTGCGGCAGTCGCCGAAAAAGTTGTCCACTCGCTTCGAAGACTCGAAGACGGCCAAGATGGCCTCGAAATTCGCTAAAGATAATACAATATGGCTTCCAAGACGGTCCAAGAGGGTCCAAGATGCCTCCAAGTCCGCCCAAGAAGCCGCCAAGACGGCATAAGATGGGCTCAACATGACCTAAGACTGCCAAAGAGACCCACCACAGGCCTCCCCGACGGCCCAAGAGGCCTCCATGAGATCCTCCAGGAAGGCGTGCAGAGGCAGAGGATTTGAGCATTTGTTTCTTTTCGGCCTTCCGACGGCCCGAGACAGCCCAAGAGCCCCCAAAGATCGCCTCAAGATCGCCCAAGAGGCCTCCAAGATGGCCCCAGAACGGACCAAGAGGCACCCATCCAAGACGGCCCTGGAGCACCCTAAGAGGGCCCCAAGTCGGTCCAGAGAGGCTCCCAATACGGCTTCCGACGGCGTCAGACGGGCCAGGGACGCCCTAAGACGGCCGAAGAGGCCCCCGAGAAGCCCCCCAAACGCCCCTAAGAGGCCCAAGGATGTCTCCAAGATGCCTCCTCCTCTCATCCTCCCCCAGGTGTTTCCCGAAGGGTTTCCACAACGGCTGGGGGAACACACGGTCCGATAGCTTGGCAGAGCTCTGGCCACAACGTTCGGCCACATGGGCGATTCCAAAAGGCCGGGGGCGGCGGTGATTCGCCGAAGGCGTCTTCGATACATTCGACGAGGGGTCTGGGCGAACACGTGCAGCATGCCCATCCCGCAGTCTATCCTCCCCTCGACTGATTCCCCTGACATGAAGGCCGTCCGAGGCGGGGCCCGGGTGGACAGGGCTGGAAGATCGCACCGAATGGCCGCCTGCATCCGACGTCGGTATGGATAAAAAACTCTGAATCTGAATCGCCCCGCCGCATCGCCGATGCATCGGCAATGCGGGGCGATCCTCCGACCCACCCCTGCGCCAGCCCCCATACCAGGGCGGCCCGAACGACCGGATCGAGGATGCGGCCGCCCCTGCCTAGCGACGCAGAAGAGTGACCCTGTGCAAGAGCGACCTCTGGAGCGCGGATCCAGGGAGGCGCGGGGGGGCCCAAACCCGAGCGCGCAACCCGCTGCTGCTTCACTTCCCTGTCGCATCGCCTTCAGCGATTGGGGGGCCCCCGTGGGCCCGCACCGAAGGTCGCACAGGCGAGGAGCCACTCTCACGTGCAGCCGATTGGCACGTCCGAAATTGATACGAAAAAGATGGATACCGTCTTGTCCACCAGCATATGCTTTCCAGAATCAACAGCGGCCGCTGTTGGGCAGGCGGCTCGGTGACCCACATGGACAACAACCACGGCGACGTCGACAGCGAGTCGTGTTCACCACGGACAGGAAATGCTGCCCGTCCTCGTCCCCATCCTTTCCGTACCCATGTCGATCGTTGTCAGCGAACCCCCGCGGGGCTCCTGGTGGCACGCCTGCACGTTGCACGCCCGGGTCTCCTCCAGCGCCCGGCGGCGCCCCCGCGGGCAAGTGCACGCGTGCGCCAGGCGCTCTCGAACGCTCCCGCTGGGCGCCTTCGTGCACGCTCGGCTGGCGCCGCGCGTCGCGGCGGCAACGACGGCGACGACGTCGACGACAACAACGGCGGTGACGGCACGGCGACGACGGCGGCGTCGAGAGTGACGAGGACGGCGACGACGGCGACGACGACCACGGTGTTGCCCCTGCCGCCGTCGTCGTCAACGACGCCGTGGGCCTCGCCGCCACCGTCGTTCGTCAGCGTTCGTCGTCGGGTGCGCCCACTGGGTGTCCGGCGTTTTCTCTGGCTACGAGCTGTGCACCGAGAGGAGCGAGGCATGCGGCGCAAGGGGGGGAGGGGGAGACATGGCCACAAGAACGTCGGTCAAGAACGCGAGCCCCTTCGCCAATGGCTGAGGGCCCTCCTGGGGTACTCAGAACGAGCAGCATCGCAAGGTGGAGGTCCCAAGCACGACGGACATGAGGGTACCCCTCGAAATCTCGGTTTGGTCTCGATCCCCGTGCCAGCTGTATCCGCGTGCGCACGGGAGTACAAGCTCTACGCCCAGGGCGTTAGAGAAGGCAGGAGGGGGGAACGCGAGGGCTTCGGGGACCCTCGGGGGCCCAAGCTCTGTCAAAACCCAGTGCGTCCCCCGAGCACGCCGATCACAGCATCCCAGCATGCTGGAGATCGGCCGATGCTTCGATCAGCGCCCGCGTGTTCGACCACGGGCCGTTCTGCTACCCATCGGCACGAGGTCGGGGCGGTCCTCGGCGGTCGCCAGTGGCCCCTTGGCAATCTCTGGCGGTTTCTGCGCGAAAGCTGACAGCTCAAGTTCAGCAACGGGCCCGCGACCGAATACCTCCAGCGTAGGGGGGTACCTCAAAACCGACCTGGGTGGGGCTATCGGGCCCCCATCGGCGATTAGTGGGCCAGTGGGCGATGAGGGGTCGACGCGTTCCCCCTTGAGCCTTTCCCCCACTCAACGTCGCCACTGAGGCGGGGGAAGGGATCCATGCGCGCGGGAACAAACACTCGGCGCTGGCGGAGTTCGGGGAGGAGGGGGGGGGGGCGGGAGCGGAAAGCATCGGGGATTCCCCCCGGGCTCCTCAGCGGGGCCCGAGGTCGGTCGGGATGTCCACAAGCGCCAACGTGAACCTCGAATCGACGATACTTCGCCGAGAGATCGCCAATGGGTCTCCGATAGCGAAATATGAGACACTCGGCAAAGATGGGATACTGAAGTCCCTAATGACGACGTCGCCCGTCGTGCGCAGTGAGGTCCCCCCCCTCCCCAACGACACGAAGGAGCAAAAGAACACCACCACCTCCGCTGGCCCCTCTTCCAAAAATACGTGGTGGGGGGGGGACTTTTGTGCCGTTTTGGAAAAACTACCCTCGCAATCTAAAGCCAGAGCTCTTTGCCCAGCCACACGGGGGGGATGGGGGCCCAGGTTGGGGTGGAGGCGGGTTTCTTCCGCGAAGACTGGGTGCGACGGAAGGGAAGGGGAAAAGTAGGGTGTTCATTGACAGGGGCCATGATGAAGAAGCGGCGGCGGTGGTCGTCTCGGGCGCCGCGACTCGCGACGCGACGCGGCGCGCCGCGGTACAGCCGCAACGGGGGTGCAGCACACCCACCGGGACCCCCAATGCGTCGGGGGAGCTGGTCGACGTCGTCGTGGTCAACGTCGACGTCATGGTCAAGGCCGTCGTCGTCGTCGTCGTCGTCGTCGTCGTCGTCGTCATCGTCGTCCGTCGTCCGTCGTCCGTCGTCCGTCGTCCGTCGTCCGTCGTCCGTCGTCCGTCGTCCGTCGTCGTCGTCGTCGTCGTCGTCGTCGTCGTCGTCGTCGTCGTCGTCGTCGTCCGTCGTCGTCCGTCGTCGTCGTCGTCCGTCGTTCGTTCATTCTTTCGTTCGTTCGCTCGTTAGTTCGTTTGTTGTCGTCGCTCGATCGCTCATTCTTTCGTTCGCTCGCTCGTCGTTCGTCGTCGTCGTCGTCGTCTTGGTCGACGCCGAGCGGCGCCGCGGGCCGCGCGCGCGGGCGGGGGGCGTCCTCGGCGGCTCCGCAGGTCGCGCCGCCGTGGAGCCCTGCGCGCAGCACCGCGCGCGTCCTGGCGGCGCGCCGCGGCCGCGCCCGCCCTCCCCGGGCGGCGGCGGAGACGGCGAGCCGGGGGGAGCAGACCGAGGCGAGAGAGCGCGCCGCACTCGGTGACAGGACAGGGCCGGGGCAGGGAAGAAGTGTAGGACAGCGGCTCCAGATCACAGCACTACACGCCGGCGAGGAGGGCACACGACCCAGGGGTTTTGAGACGCGAGACCCATCACGGCCAGCACCCGATCGGGAGGGGAAGGACAGAAGGGGGCCAAGAGGGGAGAGGAGGGGGGGGCCGGGGGGAGGAGACAGGGGAAACGTGGCGGAAGAGGAATGAGGGCGGGATGCGGGACAAGGGGGGGAGAAGGAAGAGGAGGCGGAGGAGGAGAAGCAGCGCAGCACCAGCAAAAGCCATGACGGAGTGGGGAAATGAGGAAGAAAAACAAGAAGAAGGACGAAGAAGAGGAGGAGGAGAAGGAGGAAGAGAAACAGGAGGAAGAAAACGACGGGCAAGAAGAAGGACGAAGAGGAGGAGGAGGAGGAGGAGGAGGAGGAAGAGAAACAGGAGGAAAAAAACGACGGGGACGAGGAGGAGCATAACAGTATCCCAGGATGCATCAAGTATGCACCAACACACTCTTTCGTGTCAAGACCTCTCCTAGTTTGCACTTGCATGCTTCCTTTTCACCACCGGAAGCGATATTTTGAAAGACGAACGCCCCATGAGCCTACCATTCACGCAATAGCCTCGTCGAAAAAGATACCACCCTCATACTTCGCTCTACACGAAGCCCCACCAAAATTAAGGGCATGTGGTCTAGGGAGCTTTCTCTTCTAACCAGCTTCTTTCCCTTTCGGGGAAGAATTTATCACTGTTCCCGATTCATATAAACCCCCTCCCCCACCCAGCCGGCAGCCATCGCAGAACCATGATAACCCCATGAGGGCCACCCCCCACCATCCCTGGCAACAAAAAAACCATACAAAACGCACTCGACCTTCACATTTGGAGCATGCGCGGCCGCCCCGCGACCATTTTGCATGGGCATTTTTTTACAAGGACGGCTAGGGCGCCAGCAGATTCCGCCTGCCTTCTGGGCGCGGGTGATCGACCGACTGGTCTGACACATCAGTGGCTGTTGCCTTACACTTTACCAATTGGCCTTCGAAACCTCCCAATGGCTCCAAACTTTTCCAAGAAAGCTCGAAAACGGGCCCAAGAGGCTTCCAAACCCGTGGCGTCTGCGGCGCTCTTGCGCGATATGCTGACATCCAAGTGCGACTTGTGTGTTGGGAGGGCGGGTGGGAGTTAGCAGGGCGGCTTGCGGGCGGGTGGGCAGCTTGACCCCCTACCCCCGACCCCCTACTCTAGACCTGAAGGGGGCGCCCCGCGAGGTGTCAGAGGGTACTTTTTGTCCCCAAAACGGCCTCCGAGAGGGCCTCGGAGAGTCCACGAGGACCTCCGAGAGGGCTCAAGATAGCCCAAGATGCCCCGATATGGCCCCCCAGATGCCCCAAGAGGCTTCCAAAACGCCCCAGGACGGGCACCGGTGGCCACGGGGCGTCCCCGGGAGGCCGCCCATCGGCCCAACTCTTTCCAACACCATTCGAAAACCAATGCTTCGTGCTTCCTCGTCGCTTCGTTTCCGATGGCCGCCCGAGGCCTCGGGGCGGCTCCAAGATCGCCCCCAGAGGCGCGGAGGAGGCCCCACGATGCCCCCAAGAGACCCCCAAGAAGCCCCAAAGGGCTCCCCGAGGCACCCAAGGCGCTCTAAGAGACCCCCAAAAAGCTTTCCAAGATAGCCCCACGACAGCCCCAAGACAGCCCCGAGAGCGCCCGAGAGTGCCCCAAGAGCGCTCCAAGAGGGACCCTTCCTCTGCGTGCTGCCCACTTCCCTGATCGAGGCAACTCCTCTGGGCATCGCGTCTCGGTGGCCAGATCTCAAAGAAGGCAGATTTTGACAACAGCCGGAGACGCGCCCGACAGAACCGCGCAGAGGTAATTGCATAACGATCGGATCCAGCGACGGCGACAGTGGCGACTGCGCGGCCGCTGCCGCAGAGAGCAAGCGCGCCCCCCGACGAGCGAAGGGCGGATCGTCGCCTGCACGCCCGCTGCTCGGGCAGGCGCACTGCGCCGCCCACGGCGGCGCTCGGCCCACCCGACCCCTCGGGCGACTCCGGCGCCGCTCGCTCCGCGACGCGGGTCTCGGCGCCGCGCCCCCGGGGATCGCGCCGGCGGGCGCTGCCCCGACCGCTGGCGCCGCCTCTTCTCCTCCAGGCCGCGCGAGCCGCCGCCTGCCCAGCTCCTGAAATCAACCTTGCCATCGCAGCGCTCCCCGCAGGCTCGGCCCGGCGCAGGGTTGCCCTCTGCCTCGCCGCAAGCCCGCGCGTGGGGTCGAATGGCGCGCGCCGTCTCCTCGCCGCCGCCGCCGGCGCGGGCGCCGTTGCGCGCGCCCAGTCGCCCGCCGACCCCCCGCGCGCCTCGCGCGTCGCCTCGGGCGCGAACTCCCAGCGCTCGGGGGGGGAGCGCTGCGTGCCTGTCCTCTCCCCCAGCCCGCAGCCCCCTGCCGGACGCGCCCAGGGCCCCCTCCGCTCGCGGGCCCTGCGCCGCGCAGCATCGCAGCCCGCGCGAAGAGCGGAGACCGACTGGCCAGCGCCGCCGCGACGCTCTGCGCTGCCGCGGTGGCCCCCCGCAGGCACTGGTGAAATGCGCCGCCGCCCCATCCCCCCCACCTCTTCGCAGCGACGCCCCCGCCGCGGTGGCGCCACGCCGCGGCGCCTCGAAACATCGGCGAGCGGGGGCCGAACTGCGAGGCCAGGTGGCGCTCTGCCGCTGCCGCCCGCCGCAGATCCCCTTGATCCTCTGCCGCGGCACCTGGGCGCCAGCAGCCCACCTCGCGAAGGGGACTTGCACCCCCCAGCCCCCTCCCATCCTCGCCGGAAAGTGCCTCTGGAACTGCCCCGTTACCCGCGCTGGGCAAATCTCGCCGCCCGTCTGGCGCTGGTTCCTCACCGCGTTCGCGCCCGCCTGGTCCGTCTTGCTCGCTTTGAACCGCGGCGCCACCTCGTCGGCTTGGGCGACGCGATGCGCTGCGCCAACCTTCTGCTTCGCCGCGACATCCAGCCCCATCAATTTTTGCGATAGCCCCAATCGATGGCGCGCGCATGTTCTCCGATCCTCATCAGGAAAAAAACGGCCGCGATGATCAGGCAGTATAGAGCACCGCGCCTGCAGGATCCGACTTGGGATTCAGACGCGCCCTGATGGTCTCGAGCATGCGGACTGTGACCAGCAACTTCCTCGCTCCTGAGCCTCCCAGCATCGCGACGCGGCCCAGCGCCATCAACAGTCGCGGCCTGCCCACCAGCGGTCCAGCTCGCCGAGCCACGCGCGCTGAGCACGCGCCGCCGGCAGCTTGGAACGGATTTCGCGATGCGCCCTGTGGAAGTTGCTCCGCGGGTAGACCGCGAGCAGCAGCAACTCCTCCGCATCATCTAGCTTCTCCTCCCCGGTCCAAGATGGGACCCCCCCAGCGGACGCGGCAAAACGCTTTTCGCTGCCAGCGCCGCCCAGCGGCCCGCACCCTTCGACTCTTCCACGCACTCGGTTCGCCCAGCCACCCCAGCCCGCCTCGCGGACCTCGAGGCCTTCTGGATGGCCTCGGCCAACGAGCAGCTCCGCTGCTCGCGGCTGACCGCGCACTGGTGCTCATCCAGCGTCGTCGGGGCGATCTGCGCGTCGCACAAATCCCGCGCCGCCTGCCCCCCCCACCGAGCCCCGCCTCTGATTCTCACGCAGGGCCACCAGGGCCGCCGCCCCGTCGGGGCCCACCGCGCCGGCGCGCCTCCTCGCCTCCTCAGGCGCCAAGGGGCCGCGCGCGCTCCCCGACGCACCTTCCGCGCCGCGCCAGGGCCCCGATTCCTCCTGCTCGCGCGCTCCTTCCGTCGCCTCCACGCCCGCCACCTCACAGGCGCCCCCTTCCCATCCCCCTCTCGATCGGCGTCTGGGGTGGCCCACGTGATCGTCGCTGTCCCTGCCCGGTGCCCCTCGCCTCCCCGTAGCCTATAAGACAGGGTCCACAGACAAATCGTTGACGAAAGAGATTGAGCTCATTTCCCAAATTATCAACTGAAGCGCGCCGACTTGCGTTGGGTGATATGCGAAGTCAACTCTGACACAGCCGCCCGCCCCCAATCATCGCTCTCGCGTTGACGCTGGTCTCGCGCCGTGTGCAAAGCGGACGGACTATGCGCTGTTGTCCGTGAGTCACTACTTTGTTGGGCGCGCGTCATCCCTGCCGCGCGCGTGCCAGCGGCGCGCGCCAGGTTCGTCTCGCGATGCTGACACGAGCGCGGGGGAAATGACGCGCGCGCGCTCTTCGCCCGTAGCGGCGGCGTGCGCGATGACATCGGCGCGCGCGCCATCTCCAGCGCGCGCCAATCACGCCGCGCGGTCAGCATCCCCGATGAATTTACAATGCGAACGGCGCTCCAACAATTGTTGTTGCACGTCTTCCAGAAGCATTCTGTCGTCGCCCCTTTGCATTTTGTCGCGGCTCTGCGCCGTCGGCGGATTCTGTCGGCCGCCGCATCTTTTGTGGCTTTGGCACTTGCTGTTCGTCGTTAGAATTTGTCGTCGGCCTCCTTATCTATTGTCGTCGGCCTTTCTTTGTTTTTCGTCGGCTCTTTTCGTCGTCGGCCCCTTTTTGTCGTTCGTTTTTGTTGTTGGTGCCATTTACGGTCGGACTCAGAATTTGACTTGCTGGGGCTCTTGAACATGTTTAAGGTCTTTCGCGGCCGGATGCATCTTCAATGCATGTCGCGTTTCGCGCGCGCCCCCATCGCCCCGTCTGGAAACGATGCCCAGGCGCTGCACATGGAAGTTCGCTTCTTGGTCCTCGCACGCCCCCTTGAGAGACCGCGCACGCTGGGGGGGCTCGACGCTAACAGCGTTTGAGACGCGTGACGGGCGCCGCGGCTTCATTCATAACAAACAGAAGAGCGTGATCCAAAAGCTGTTGTCGTTCGTCGCTTTGTGACCCTACGGAAATGGAGGGAGTGCTGTCCCTGACCCCTTGTTCCTGGCAGGGCTCTCCCCGACGACCTCCCCTCGGCCACCCGGCGGCCTCGAGTCAGGCCCTGGCAAGCGCTCACGGGCCCGCGTAGGCGACGGCAAGCCCTCCCGCTGGGAACTCGGGGACGGTGACCTCTCGCGACCCAGGTTCTCGCGCAGGGGCCCACTCTTGGCAGGCCGCGGTGCTGGCCGCTCCCTCGCGCCCCCCCGCCCCCGATAGCTGAGTTGGATCAGGATTATAACTCGCCGCGCATGTGCTGACGATGTCTAACCATGCTGCGGCTACATATATATATATATATACCCATGTTCATACACGAAGATAGCTATATGAATGTGATTATGGTGGAATAATAAATCTCAATGCTCCGAATCGACTGTCAACATTGATGATGCATCTCATCGTGATACTCTTATATAGATGACAGTCTTACTTAGACTCAGTGGTACCTGAGATAACCTAATAGTAATATGTTTAGGGCTATGTGGATATGAGGCTATGGGACTATATAGGGCTGGCTATATAGGGCCGTCAGGCTATAGGGCGATAGGCATATAGAACAATAGACAGCTACGGCAATACGACTATAGGACTATAGGGCTATAGGGCTATACGGCTATAAGGCTATAAGGCCTAGGTCTATAGGGCTATAGGGCCATAGGGCCATAGGGCTGTAGGGCTGTAGGGCTATAGGGCTGAGGGCTATGGGGCTATATGGCTATCGGGCTATCAGGCTATGAGAGATAGGACTATAGGGCTATAGGGCATTGGGTTACCTTGCCAAGGGCTATAGGACTATAGGGCTATAGGGCCATAGGGCTAAAGGGCTATAGGGCTATAGGGCTATAAGGCTTAAAGCTATAGGGCTACAGGGTTTTCGGGCACCTGGGCACCCGGGCACCCGGGCGGGTCGCCGAAATCGGCGACGCAACTGACCTAAACATATGAATCCGCTCGGACCCTTCTGATTTGGGAAAATAAATATAAGCATGTTAGTCATACATAATGAGGTTGCCTATGGACGCAACCTATGGGCGCAACCCATGGGCGCGCCCCATGGCGCACCCTATGGCACAACCCATGGGCGCAACCCATCCCGCCCCCCAGGACTCCCCAAAATGATACTGCCCCAGAAGACCCCCCCCAAAGAACTCCCCCAGATGACTCCCCCATAGGACATCCCCATCGGGCTCCCCTGTATAGGAGCCCCGCACAGAACTCCCCCTACAGGGAGCCGCCCCATAAGACCCCCCCCCATAGGATTCCCCCACGTGACTCCCCCATCGGACTCACCAGAGGACTCCCCCATACTAGTCCCCCTCAGGACTTCCCCAGAGGGCTCCCCCATAAGACGTACCCATAGGACCCCCCTGTAGGACTCCCTCATAGATACCCCACCCATATTCCTCATCACCTTCATCTTCCTCCTCATCGTGCTCATCCTCTTCCTCATCCTCACCCTCCTCATCCTCCCCTTTTCCCCATCCCACCATTCCCCCTCCCTCCATCCACCCCCCCCTCCTCATCCCCGCATAGAGTCCCCCTCCCATCTTCCTCATCGTCATCGTCCTCCTCATCGTCCTCATCATCCTCCTCTCAGGGTTCTCCTCGTCGGCCTGCCCGGTCCCAGACATCCCATCCCACGACGTCGTCTGTTTCATCTTCGGGCCTGCGGAGCTCCCGGCCACTTCCTCGGGGATAGTTTCCTCACCTCGGGGCAATGTGTGATGGCCTGAGGGCCAGAAGACCGCCTCCCGACGCCGAACACCCAGATCGAAAACCATCCGTCCGCTGGATGTATGGGGTCCCAGCCGCCCCCCAGAGAGAGGGCGGAGGGGGGCAGTGTCCGGATCTGGTCGCCGCCACCGCACCCCTTCGAGCACGAAGAGAACTCCGACCACTCGCTCATCTCGAAGCCGGCGGCAGGGGGGCGTAAGGGGCAGGGGGATCGTCGTCGTCGTCGTCGCCGCCGCCGCCGCCGCCTCGGTCGTTGTCGTCGAGGAAGGGAGAGGAGAGAAGGGCGACGACAATATACAGTAAATTTCGTAAGGGAGGGAGGGAGGGAGGGAAGGAGGACCGAAGGTCACGCTCAGACGTTTGCTTGCCCTCCCAGGGACGCTGGAGGCCTCCGGGGACCTCTTCATGGGGAGGCCTGAATGAAGAGACCTCTGAAAACGCCTCTGGAGAAGCCTGGAGACCTCGAATACTTCCGGCAGGAGGGAGGCCGATGAGGAGGAACAGGGGGTAGGAGGGCGATTCCAATACCAAACAAAAGAAGCCAATAAGCAACGGAGGGATGAAGTGGAAGAAGGAGTGCAGATATCATCGTGCGACAAGACTGGACACATCGCGGAAAGGGCGCGTCTGCGCTAGAGCCCGTTCTATTTTCTGGGATAGCGGCCGTCATCGACCCCGCCACCCCCTCCCCCCCAGATGACTACTCCAGATTCCGTAATGAAGGGAGGGGGGTCTCATTTCGGGGGAGGGGCGGTCTCTTCCAGGCTATCTTGGAGGGCCTGGGGGGTCTGGGGACGATGTTTTGGAGGGTTCTCCCACGGGGGAGGTCTGAAATGGCTTGTCTTGGAGGGTCCAGACCCCCCCCTTTTATTACGAAATCTGGAGTAGGGGGTAGGGGTAGGGGTAGGGGTAGGGTTCGCATGTGGCCCCCTAATGACGTCACGTTCCGCGCTCGCGGCGTCTAGGAATGCCCAGGGATGACCGAGGCCAAGTAGGAGCAGCATATAGGCTTGGGGGCTGGAAATCGGCACCAACACCAAGACAGGGGGCTGCCTCCACATGGGGGAGATGATCCTAGATTTCGGTGTTGGTGGTAATATTTTGGCCACCTTGGAAGCCAGAATATTACCACCATCAGCGAGATCGGGATCTTTCTTCTCTCGCTGAAGGAACACCGCCGCTATTGGTGTTAGTGCCAACCTCTAGGCCTGCGATAGGCGGCGATCTGCACCACAACGCCTGTGTACACCGCAGTGCCTGCGTGCACCACAGCGCGCGTGAACACCACAGCGCCTGTGTACACCGCAGCAGCCGTGTGCAACGCAGCGCTTGTGTACACCACAGTGCCTGCGTGCACCACAGCGCCTGTGTACACCACAACGAGTGTGTACACCGCAGCAACCATGTGCAACGCAGCGCCTGTGTACACCGCAGCAGCCGTGTGCAACGCAGCGCTTGTGTACACCACAGTGCTTGCGTGCACCACCGCGCCTGTGTACACCACAGCGCCTGTGTACACCGCAGCAACCATATGCAACACGGCGCCTTTGTACACCACAATGATTGCGTGCACCGCAGCGCCTGTGCACGCCTGCGTACACCACAGCATCCGCGTGCAACGCAGCGCTGGTTTACACCAGAGCTCCTGCGTGCGCAGGACAGGTAGAAGGAGCATGTACATGAGGACCTGCTGCGGACAGCTACACACTAAACCAGGGAAGTGCTGATATATAATGCAATGTTCTTCTCTCCTCCCTCCTCCTCCTCCTCCCCTTATCCTCCTCCTCCACCTCCTCCTCTTCCTCCTCCTCGTCCTCCTCCTCCTCCTCTCCTTCCTCCTCCTCCTCCCTCACCCTTCCCCCGTCGTGCGGGTCGGCGCTACAGCGCAAATGCGCATCTCAGCGCGCACCGCAGAATGGTTGATTCAATCAGTCCACGTTTTTCTCCGACGGCCAAATCTGCGGGAGCCTTTTGGTCGCAAATTGGAGGAGTTAGGATAATGCGGGAGGACTCGGGAGGACTCGTCGATTCCAGCGGCGCTCCGTTCTTGATAAGGATTCCTGTCCAAATCCTATATCCAACACTTGTTTTCTGTGGAATCAACAGGCGCTCCAACTTGTCAGAAGGATTCATGACAAACCTCTATATATATACAACAATGGTGCTCTGTTGTTCACAGTTGCTGTGGTGTACACAGGCGCCGCGGTGTACACAGGCGCTGTGGTGCGGGCACTGTGGTGTAAACTGGTGCTGTATTGCACACGGCTGATGCAATGTAAGCAGGCGCTGTGGTGTACTACACAAACGCTGTGGTGCATGCAAGCGCTGCGTTGTACGCTCACACAGGCGCTGTGGCACACACTGGTGCTGTGTTGCACGCGGCTGCTGTGGTGTACATCGGCGGTGTGGCGTACACAGACGCTGTGGTGCGCGCAGGCACTGTGGTGTACACAGGCGCCGTGGTGCAGATCTCCGCCGACATGCTGCTGCTACCCGTCCTCGGTCATTCCTAGGCTTTCCTAGACGCCGCCGGCGCGAAACGTGACGTCATCGGCCCCCTCCCCCCCAGATGACGGCCGCCATCGGCCCGGAAGAAAACAACAGGCTCCTACACACATAGCGGAGAGAGGGGAAGAGCATAAACAGAGGAACTGGAGGAGGAGGCGTCGAGGACCTCGAGGAGCTCGAGGAGAAGCTCAAGGAGGAGGTGGAGCAGGAGAAGATAAAGGAGGAGGGCGAGGAGCAATCTGAGAAGAGCGAGGAGGCAAGCGTAGAAAGGGTATGAGAAGAGCGAGGAGGAGGAGGAGGAGGAGGCGGAGGAGGAGGAGGAGAAAGAAGAATTGGAAAAACAGGAGGGAGGAGGATGAGAGGAGGAGGAGGAGAAAAGAAGAGAAGGGGGCGGAGGTGTAAGACGAGGCGGAGGACGCCGAGGAGGAGGATGGACGTGTGGAAGGAAGAGGGACAGCGAGGGAGGAGGGGAGGAGGCTGAGGACGTGGGAAAAGGTGGGGAGGGTGCCAGGATCGAGTAAAGAAGGAGGGTGCCAGGAGGGTGGAGGAAAAGGAGGAAGGTGGAGGAGAAGGAAGGAGGATGAGAGGCAGACCTGAGCGGACGAAGCCGGGGACGATGAGCCGCGCCCGTCTTGGAGCGGCGGAAGCCCGAAAAGGCGGAAACGCTAAATCGCGGAGTAAAACTAAAGAAATACATGATTGTGGCCTGCTAGAGGTTCTTGTGGAGCCCTCTTCAGGCGTCTGAAGGGCCTCTTGGGATGTCTGGAGGACATAAATTGGAACGTCTTGGGGCCTCCTGGGCTCCTTCGAAGCTCGCCCGAAGCCGCAACTGCACATTGTGACCGTCTTCCGCCGTCTTGCGCCGTCAGCGGCCATCTGCGACCGTCTTGCGGCCACCTTTCGGCCGGTCTTCCGCCGGCCTTCCGCCTGTGGCCGGGGCTAGATTTGGAGGGGTTCCCACAAACTCCCAAGGGGACACTAAACGAGAACACCTCCGCAAAGTCGGGGAACCTGATAGAGCCACGAACCCCGAGCCAGGAGCACAGGTGGGCAAGACTTGCGAGAAAGAACAAAACCAGGAAGGGGATTCAAGCAGGGCGTCTCATCGGCAACCGTGCCGCTGGGCACGAGTCGGAGTGCTCTCAGGTCCTCAATCCTCAGGGTTGGGAAATCGGATTGGGTGATCTACGATGCCTACGGCGGATCACCGCCGCCCCCTGCCTTTTTGAAACGCCCGTGCGGCCGAACATTAGGCCGATGTCTGGCCAAGCTAGTGGACGATGTGTTCCCCCAGCCGTCACCGTCTTGAAGGTTTCTGGGGCCGTTTGGGGGGCCTTAGACTATCTTGAACCCCTCTTGGGCCGTCTTGCTGGCCTCTTGGGGGCCTATTAGGCCGTCTTGGGGCGATCTTGGAAGCCCGTCGGCCCGTCATGGAGCGTCGGAAGTCCGAAAATGCGGAAAACACAAAAATACGCCGACCCAGTCAGGGCGTGTGAGGGGCTTGTTTGTCCGAGTCGTCGTCTCTGTCAGTCGTCGTCTCCGTCGTCCCCTTTCCATGCACCCTCCTCCTTGAGCATTTCAGCGAGTGACAAATCTAGCAATATCGTAATCGAGTCGAAGGGAAGCCCCTTCCCTTTGATCCCTCCCCTGTCGGAAGGGGGGGGTCCGGGGGGGAGGTCAGATACGCATCCCTCCTGGGGTAAAAAGAGCAGGGGGGCCCTTCCCTTTGATCCCTCACCCGTCGGGAGGGGAGGGGGTCAGATACGCATCCTTCCTGGGGTTCCCGTGGTCTCAAAAAGAGCAATACAGGTCAAGAGTGCCCCGGGAGGTCACCGAGACGGTCCAAAGTCTGTCCAAAACGCATTCACGCCCTCCAGACTGCCAAGGAGGCCTCCAAGACGCCCCCAGAGGCCTCCAAGAGCACTCCCGAGAGGGCCCCAGGAGGCAAAATTCACAGATGTTTCATACATGTTTGAAGGATTTTGACGTTCTCGCCTTGTCCGCCTCCCGCCGCTCCAAGATGACCCAAGAGGGCCCCAATATCACCCCAAGACGGCCCGAGAGGCCTCCAAGGGGGCTCCAAAGAAAGCCTAAACCACCCCCAAGACTACCCAAGAGGCCCCCAAAACGGCTCCAAGAGTGTGCCCAGACGGGGGACCCAAACGGACATTTCGAGCCCTCGGCCCCGAGAGGCTCCCAGGTCCCATGAGGTTCCCAAGGGGCCCCACGAGGCACACAAGAGGCTCCCAAGAGGCTCCAAAGTTCCTTCCCAGAGGCCCCCGAGAGCCTTCCGAAGAGACCCCAAGAAGCATCCCTGAGGACTCTGGCCCACGTCAGCATCGTCATCGTCACCGCTGCCGCCGCCCCCGTCGTCGTCGTTGTCCCCCTTCAGGGTCGGCGGCACGGGCCGTAAGGCCTTCGAATCATTGAAACGCCGTGGGGAAATCATTGATCTTGGCCTCCTGGAGGTCCTCCTGGGGCCTGTTGGGGACTCTCTTGGGGACCTCTTCGAGTGCGTCTTGGCCTTCGGAGGCCGTCTTGAGCCTCCATGGGCACTCGTGGGTCCTTCGTTGGGCGATTTAAGGCCGTTGTGGAAGTCTCTGGGGCCGTCTTGGGGTGAGATCCTCTCGGGCTGTCGTGGGGCCCACTTGGGCAGTCTTGCGG